ACTATACTGAATTGTGTGGTAGTCAAAGACATGTAGCCTTTCTGTGTGATAAAGAATGCTAAGCATACTTCGCAAGTTAATCTCTCTACGCATCTACTCAAGATTTCCTGATAATATGCTTGACTGATTCGTCGTATTGAACAACTTTCAGAAACTGCAATTATACTTTGTGTTGAGTCCCGGTTACTCAGACATAGGCCCAGAGTAAAGAACACCAACCGGTTGAAATTTTATCAGCCTTCCACAACAGCATACCCTATAAAAATTTGAAAGCGAATCCACTGTAATTTCTGGTTCCTTGTGCCAAAGACTTGTCTCTGGTGCACTCATGATATTAAGCGCTGCAAAAAGTAAATAAAATGAGTGCAATATACCCATACATTATGCGTTTTTTAACCTAATACTTGCCTGTTTGAGTTCATCTCCGCAAATTTCGAAAATAACTGATGAGGTATTGCTTCGGTCATTTAAAGGTTATCATGAACGCCATTATATATACAATAATAGACACTAAGGAAGTTGTATGACAACAAAACGACACACATTTAGCTTGAAGCATCCTGAGTTTCTGGCTGCTTTTTTATGGATGCATGCGTATTTTAAGAGGCTGGGCCACTCCCTACTTACGTGAATACTTCCAGTGAAAACTTTAGCAGGTATACCACATATATACATACCATTTCTCATCGGCTTTAGAAGATTGCGAAGGATATTGGAGTAATGTCACATTGTATTATTTTTCATAGTTCATGCTTACAAACCCCATGTATTTGCACCTCACTACGCGGGGGATTCCTGGAGTAGCGTGCATTAAAGCAATAAGGACAAAGATGAATCCGACGGCACGAACCTTGTCTCAGGTATTGGTGTTCAAGTCTTCTCAGAAGTGGTAAGTATTTTTAACTACAGTTTCGTTAAACTGATTATATGCCTCGCAATTACATCATTGAACTTCAGTTACAAATATTTTCAGTGGAAACACTTCCAGAGCGCTCAAACCTTCAACACATTTCTGTGTTTATTGTGATAAGCGTTGCACTGCTGAGGTATATGTGACTATGAACGAAAAAAATGAGTGCTCTTGCAGCCCGAAATTCATTTCATTATCTAACGTGGTTGCTTGGGCGAGTTGGTACGAAATAATGCACATAAAAAACAGCGCCAATAACGAGGGACAAGAAAAGCAGGAGAGAGAGAGCGGCACTGACTTACATTAGGATTTATTTGCTGGAACCATGCAATATATATTTGAGCAGTATCTAATAAAAAGAGAAAAGACAAATCAAACAAAACAGAATTCACCAACAACCTAGTAATCATAGTGATAACGCGCCATGAACATCAAGTGTGCCAACGTTCTGAAAAAATTTATTTCTCTTTGTGATAGAGCAATTGAAGGGCTGCTGACACACGCAATGCGCAGCCTTTCTATTTCTGCAGCTTCATTAATTTCGGGTATCATCTGGTCCTGATTACGCCTCCTTTTGCGAACTCTCCTTTTGAGCAGGGCCGCACCACATTTGTAGGGTGCAGTGTGTAATGCTAGCTACATTGTTCAAATACTGTCTATCCTTTAACCCAACGTGTATATGGCTGGGTTGCGATGTCGGTCCGGGTTAACTTAAGTTCAGTAGAGACAACTGGCAATCATAAATGAATATTTTCATTTGTTCACTGATGATAATTTTTATATTATTGCTAATATTATTATTACAATCATATATGAGAACTTTTTCCTCATTCCTCAAAATTTCTCTGAAATTATAAGGTACCCCTCTTTATAACCCTTTCAGACGCTATGTACACACTCGTGTGCACCACTCGTTCTCGTTATTTGCATCTAGTAGAGGCTAAGAAAGAGCAAGATATAACGTACATTAGAGGAATGCTCCTCCATAATTAATTTGTCTTCATTTAACCTCAATTTGCAGTGTACTAATAAATATGATCACTTTTCTGAAGGCACTACCACGTTTGAGGAGTCGTGCAATGTGCCGCTTCCGGCAAGCATTGTGAAAAGAAGAAATTTTCTTGCTCACAATTGGCATAATGAAAAATGAATTTGCACTACATATCTAGCCTCACATTAGATTCTATTTACGCCAAAAGCAAGCATCAATTACTTCGGAATAAATTGATATTTAATTGCTTCCTAATTAAAAGGAGTTATATTGACACACATACATTCCACAACTATCTCGTTTTGTTGCAATGCAATATTGAGTACCTTGAAGTAACGTTATAATGATTTGACACATTTACAGACACCTCTTAAAAGTTGGCGTCTGAAAGGGTTAGTCCAAAAACACACATTTCGTAATAACGTAAACAGATTCCTCAGATAACATAACTAAATGATTTGCCATGCGGGCCGGCATCTTCCGGAATAGATTAAAGCGCGAACGGACAACACTAAAAAAGAAAAGACGAGGACACGAGTGTTCACTGCCAACCAGTTTTATCTGATAAAAAATACATGAGAATATAAAGATCGGTACCACGAAGGCGCACCGGCACCCACATTAAGTGAGAAAAATGAGAAAGCTTATCCTAAATTGTGCTCGATCAATTGTAACTCACTCACTCACAAAAGTGCCAAGGTTTGGATAACACATGAGTTGTGTATGGGCTGTAGTATGTGCCATATTTAACTAACAATTCGGTGTGTCAACTAAAGTGCATGTGAGCATGGCCCTAACTCATAAATGATCGGTGCACGTTCCCTATCGCGCAAGGAATGGGAAATGTTTGTAAGGTGAGAAGAAATGTTGTTAAACCCCAAGAAGGGAAATTGAAGAGGAAACGACAGGATAGAGTGCGCCACCGCATCATCAATGAAGGTTTTCTTTCACACTATGTACGTCAAGCAAGCTGCGTGTTTTGGACTCGCTCGCTGGATTCCATGCCGACCGGTTGTACTCCCGCGACCTCTGACGAAAGCGCCACTCTGGCGGACAGGCTCGCCCTTCGCCATCGCCTGACGCCGGCAAGAGCTCCCGCTGAGTGGTGCCCCGTCCTCGGATCTTTCGACCGTGTCCGCATCTTTCCTATTTCTTCTTTACTTCTTTATGTCACTGTCGCTGGCCTCATCTCTATCGCTATTCTTTTTCTATTTCTATTCCTTCTAATCTCTCCTTACCCCCATTCCTCAATAGCCACTGTTGAGGTGTCGCGCTGTGAGCAGACAGTTACGGGGCTCACTTTTATCTTCGTTTCTTTCCTTTAAGAATCACTTACTGGGTCACCAACGCACGCTTTTTGTGAACGACAGCATCACCGGAAGGGCGATTAATTACGCCACCATCATTTGAAAAAAATCACATTCACTGGAAATGCGCACGTATGTGTCAGCTCTGCTGCTTATCGGTTCAAAGCGTGCTGGGTTTGTTGTACCAACCAAACACTGTTATTCTCCAGCCAACTGGAAGTTCAAATGCGTGTTATACTTTCGCACGAGGGAACTATTTTTTACCGGGTGCTATTGGTTCATCAATTAGTAATTGTTGGCCATTTCGGTATGCGGTAAACAGCACCTCATGTTTCTAAATGAAATATCTGCCGAGTTCCTGCACAGCACTGTAATTAAATTGTACCATTTGTGCAGTTATATAAGTAAACCTTATCTACCAGTTTACATGCATCTACAGAAAGGCGCTTTCTAACAAAATGTGATCACTACCGCATCTGCATGAAACACTGTGTGTGAATCAAAATGCATGTGATATACAGCACATACGTTAAACTATCCTGGTAAAATTTACTCCTGCCCTGTTTCCTGTGAGCGTTTTGGACCTGTACCCATGGGATTAAATCATCCCATATCCTTGTGAAATAAATCCTGGAGGAGAGTATATGCTCTTAACGAGGTGAAGTCTGGCACCACCACATGAAGGAACAGTTATATACCAATAGCATGCCTTTCGCATTGATATGGCAGACACCTCTACATGCGACTACTGCGGAGCTGAAGAGACCATTGAACACGTCCTGTGCAGCTGCGCTTGCTACGACACACAGCGATGCCAGCTCCGAATGGTTTTGAATCAACTTGACTCCAGACCATTTTGGGTGCAGAAGATTCCAGGACCTTGGGCATCTGCCTCAGTTGCGCAGAAAGCGACTAAAGCACTTCTACTTTGCTTAAAGTAAACAAACCTGAGCGACCACCTGTAGACTGTGTGTGCTCCCCCGAGTGTGCTCGTGATTGTGTGTACGTTCTTATCTCTCTACAACCTCTTTTATCCACTTCATTCCTTCCCCAGTGCAGGGTAGCAAACCAGATGTGCGTCTGGTTAACCTCCCTGCTTTTCTTTGCATCTTTATCTCTCTCTGACAGGGTCTGAGAAGGGGCATGCGAGTAGGTCAGCAATCTCTTCACTTCTTCACTTCTCTTTATTAACTTAAAGACCCCGGTTAGGCGGTATTACACAACGGGTGGGTTAGCAAATGTGGGTTGTAGAGAGTGATCTTCACAACGAACAATATGCAGTTATGTTGTCCGCAAAAGGTGATGTACGCGTGATGGATGCAATGTCACAGGGGAGGTCATTCCATTACGCTGCTGCGCGAAAATATACTGATGCGGCAAAGACATTAGTGGGAGCACGTGTGAGTGTGAATGATGAAGGATGGGTAGTGCGGCGAGAAATGCGCGATGACGGGATGATGGGAGGAGCTTGATTGAAGGAACTGTAAATAGTTTGCGAATTAAACAAAGACTGACAACGAGGCGACGCACACAAACATCAGTAACATCAGTTTCACTTTTTAGGGATGATATACTTCTATCATATCAGTCTGAAAATGAATGAGTCTGGTGGTATGATTTTGTACAGAATCTAGGTGGGTAATAAGGTATGCCTGGTGTACGCTCTAGATGCGCTGCATATTGTAGTTTTGATCGGATGAGAAATTTGTACGCGAGAAGTACTATGTCTAGGGGTGCGTAACACAAACGATGCTTTAGATAACTGAGGCACCTGTTCGCGGGTGATATAAGGTTGTTGATATGTGCGTTCCAGGAAAGGTTAGATGATAAGGTGACACCTAGGTATTTATATGATTCAACATGTTCAACAGTGGAATTAGAGTTTAAATAGGAGGATTATAAAAGGTGACGCTGCCGAATACTGGAAATGACTTTGCATTTAGTGGGATTAAGCTTCATGGGCCAAACATTACACCACTCTTGCACAAGATTAAGGTCCTGATTGAGGGCAGTTTGATCAGCAATGTTAAAATTGTGCGGTAGATGACACAGTTGTAAACAAATGAACTAATATTAGACGATAAATGGATGGTAGGTTGTTAATATATATTCGTAAGAGGAGGGGTGAGAGTCTTATCTGCTGAAAAAAACAGGGGTATAATGCCGGTAGGCGCATTATTTATGCATTATGGGATGCGAAGCAGCTCTTTGACTCACGCGTGTAACGCCGTACTTATGTGCGTCCGTGCAAACACGCCACAACGCGTCCACCTCGCCGGAGTAGTGGGAGCAGCGCTATGGAAGGCACGTCGCCGCTACGCATGAACGTAACGCTCCTCTCACATGCTTCCTTCACAGGAGCACGCTGACGCCACTCTTTTACTCACCCGCAGCATGCTCGTTGCAGCGCCCACAGCTTCCGGCTGCTCAGCCCGCTCGCAAAACATTTCTCTTTCGCTTCACCTCCTCCCCCACCCGCAACGTTCGACCGCAGGTCTAGTTGAAACACTCTTTCGACTTGTTTATCTGCGATAAATTTTACACAAAACCCAATCCACCACTGCGTCTCTGCGTTTCAAACAAACGTTTACTCGAGTAAACGCTGCACTAAGCTTCGTTTCAAACCGTTCTTCTACCACCCGCATCGACGCCCGTTTGAACGGGGCCAACGCCTTGCGCCCCACTGCTGCTTCGCATCCCATCAGAATTCCCTTTGGGGATATGGTTCATAGTTTTCTTTTTTGTTTCTTCTTTCCAGGAGCTATGATTATGAGTATGTGGATTACACACCAATATGGAAAAATAACAAGAAAGTTAGAGGGTTCACGTCTTTTAATAAGAGTAAGCAATCTAAATTTGTTACATTTTCGATTCCAAACATACAGCAAAACAGCTTCTCAGTTTGGGGCATTCTGTGCAGCTAGGTATTGAGATTGTATTCACTATTCTAGCTTTTATGATATGTGGCAGTATATAAAAAACAGCATGATTAATGCGTATTCTGCAGGTAATTAGGAAAGTTGACCAACACACTGGTTCATATTGCTATGAAATACGCGCCTCCGATGCGATGTCTGAGAAAAAGCGTAAAGAGGTAGGCCTTTTTAATACCAAACAATTCAGCGCGAGAAGTCATTGTGTCAACGCATCTGCTTACTTTTTTCATAATTTTGTGCACATTTCATTTTTATTCCACTGTCATAAGAACCACTTAATTATTCACTGCAAAATGCAAGTGCTTGGTTATACTAGCGGCAATCTAAAGTCGCAAAACAACAATATGATCATGAGGGACACCCTACAGAAGTGCTCCTAAATTTCGGCGATATGATGTTGTCATGCAGTAACAACGAACCGAAATACGTGCAGTCAACTGTATATCAAGAGTCATTCAGTCGATGATGAATGGGCATAAAGTACATATCAGATTGTCTTGCATTTTTTTTTCGCACGAAGTGAATTTAGTAATTCAGTAATCTTTAAGTTCGATAGAAAGTGTTCTTTTTTTGGAATGTGCTTCATTTTAGGCTGAAAAAACAGAGATGGAGACAACACCCATTGCTGGGCCAGCTTGCTTGCATATTTGCTTGCTCGCTTGATCTTTCCTATATAGCTTTTACCCATTTTCGGGGAATTAGCTATAAAACCAGTGGTCAATATACGGGAAAATTGACTTCAGATGAGAAAACAATCGGAAATTATCGGTGAATTGCTGACTATAAAAATGTTAATTTTATTTTATTTTATTGTTCTAATGCGGTCTTTGTCTTTCTATCGCTCCGACTGCGCGCGCGTCAAAGACCGGTGCCACTCTTAGACATCACACACGACCGTGACGGTTATTGAGCGGGGCATCGACCTTCAAAGCGCGTCCTTCGCACCATCTTACGGGTGATAAAGAGGATGTCAAAGTACGTCCGAGTTCTCCATAATGTGTATATAATTTGTGTACGGAAATTATTCGATGATAATGTTGCTGAACACAGTACGTAGGCCGACTCGTTTAACGCGGTGTGTGGGGAAGCTAGGAGGAGCGGTTTTTTTTATAACTAGTGTTGCAATTCGGAAAATATTGCGATTACATTATTTTTTATTATGGCTCAGATATATATATATATATATATATATATATATATATAGCGTGCGTATGTGTGTGTGCGTGAGTGCGTGTGTGTGTGTACGTAACGTAACGGTGGCGGGAAAAGAAACCAGCGGAAAACATATATTATAGGCTATTTCGAACAAAACATGAATGGAAGAAAAGTAAGACAGACAAAAAATTAGTAGGTCAAGCTCCTCCACGGGCTAAGCAACGCCTACTTTAATGTTACTCAACCAGCAATGTCCTGAATCCAAAGCGATTATGAAGGATGAATGATGGTGTTGAATTATCAAACGTTTTTTTTTACATAAAAGAAGATTGAAATAGTGATAACAAAGTACCGCCTCAATGCGACGTCACAGCTGTATTCGGACCGCAGTTTTATGACGCCTGAGCGGCTGGTCCCACTGCTGTAAAAAGGTTTACTTCTCACTTCAAATATTTGCGGTATATTTAGTCAGTCAATAGTAACCATTTTCTTGAATTTGCAAATAAATATTTCAAAAGATCAGGGATTCTAGGTTTTTTTTTTCAAAATCGGTGCTTTAGTATTTCAAATGTTTTCAACGTCTACAACGTAACCGCTATAACTATGGCAAATCAGTTTGTCAAGACATCCTTTATTATTGCGATGTTTTTATACCACGGTTCCTGCGAACAATGTTGAGGGAAGTTGTTATTAGGCTGGCGTATACTAGAATATTGTTTAGATTAACAAAAACACCACAGAGATATATAGAACCCCTACACATAATAAATAAATCCCGTTTGACCAATTAAGGTATTGCTACATTGCTTGTTCACCAGATACATCTGCGCGATGTTATTTTGCTCAAAAAAAAAGAGAGACCTTACATCGTGGTCTAGTGTTGAAACGTTTTGCTAAAACAGCTTAGTATTTATCAAGCGCTTGAATTGCAGGCACGGGTGAAAAAACAACGTATACGCTTCACCACATATATAAGGATTGTGCTATTGTAAACAAGACAAAGAATACAAAAAGAGGAGGTAAGTACCGTATACTAGCTCAAAATTAAAACGCGATATGTGAAGGAACTCCGCGTGAAAATATAATTGTTATTACAAGCACACAGAGAGGCTCATTCAGCATCAAAACGTGGGAAAGATTTTATGAGATGTACATACATCGTGGCAGTGGTGTGCGTGGACGTGCGCAGTAGCTTGTTTTAATAAACCACTACATAGATATATCGACAGTTGTCAAAAGAAGGCCTCTCCTCATGCGCTAAACACATACGACTGGTCGAAGAAGCATGACTGAATATTACGAAGTCAAGGGATACTTGTTAATGACATCGTCGCACTCTCTCATGGTAGTACAAATGAGTACAAAGGCGTACAGGGCCTTTACTTTTCCACGGACAACGAAAGATTCCTTTTCGCTAAAAGTTGCCTGTACAGCACAACGACCCCAAACATTGCCAAATTTTCTGCCTCCCTACGCCTGAGCAGCACTGCAGTGCACACCTCATTGTGTGAAGTGTTGTTCTACACAAACTTGATGAGTATGTTAGTATTACACTAACCATGCTGATTGAAAGGTTCTCTTTAGTTAGAGACATCAGCATGCGAGAAAAGCGACCTGTTAATGTTGCGTGGACGCGTGACCTCGAATGTCTCATACTTCAGCAGTAACAGCAATTATTCCAAGAGTGGCAGCGTTAAAATTTCAGCCGTCAGAATGAAATGGGGGGTGCTTTTTCATGTGGCGTTGCTTTGCTAAACTGTTGTTTGTGAGAGAATCTTTTTTCGTGAAAACGTACATTATTCTTTTTGGAACTGCGCTTGTTAAGAAAGCGCAATAAGTAGTTGCATTGATATGACGGTCTTTCACTTTCGATTGCAAATCGTCGTTTAATGGCGCAGCGTGAAATATACTATATTCCGGCAAACGTCTGACGTGTACAGCAACTAATCGGGAAATCGCATCCACATATCAGATTCTACCAGTGCGAGGAACATTATGTTGCAAGTTTTTTACGCATCCCATGTCATGATGCGTAGGCTACTGCCAAAGTGCTGCACGAACAGTCAAAAACCGCCTGCGCATAACGGCAGACAAATCAATCTTGAACTTACTGCAACTAATTAGAAGTTTCGCATAACTTGAACTGAAGGTTCATTGTACACCATCACCATTTCTTTTCCTGATGCTTGACAACGCAGTTATTACATTCGCTCAATTTTTAACACTTGGAGGGCTCACTAACCTTCCTTATCATGAAGTTCCTGTGTCGTCAGGGAATCACACAACCACACCGCACCTTTAGAGACACCGGCAATCCAGGCTGACCTCTTTCTAAAACCACTAGTACGAAGATTTCCTGTTGGATCTCAGAGTGTATGTACAGACGCAATCAGGCAAAGGATAACTAAGCTGATCAATACATCGCATTGAACCGCGATGCTATGCATCGTGTTCACATGTTCTGGAAAATGATAAGAATTCGGAAGTCAGAAAACAGTAGTTATGGACACGTTAGAGCATGAGATGTGTGATTATAAAGCGCATTGAGATTACGACAATAATACTACTTGAGTGTCTGCTAACATTATATAAGTGAAATTATCGGATATACGGGGGTTGATAATTATGGGTGGCGAGGAGAGGTAGACAAGAGTAGTAGAGTGTATGCTTTATTAAATGGAGCCTCCCTTTTACATTTCTAAGGAGTCACCTTTGGGCTGTATAATGCTCAGCCTCAAAAAAAAAAAAAAACTGCAAAATACGCTTGTCATGGGCAGAATTGGTCTTCTTAAATGTTTTTCTAACTTTAATTATGCAGAGCATCAAATTGCGACCGAATAATGGTCATAGAGAAAAACAAATCAGTGACAAAACGCTAGAGAATGCCACTCGAACACAAGACACCCAAACACCTATCATAGCGTATCTTGCACAGCAGCACAGTTGCGGTGACACGGTGCATATACCTGCATGAAGCATAAATAGAAGGACTAAATACTACAGTAGGTTAACTTTGATTATGAAAAGAGAAAATTACTATAATGTATTATCGTCCTGCGGTATAAATGTTCTCTGGGTCAAGATATGTAAATCAAAAACCGCGGCTCTCAGCCAACATAAAATATGAAAAAAAACACATTTGCTGGAAAATGATAAGAATTCGGAAGTCAGAAAACAGTAGTTATGGACACGTTAGAGCATGAGATGTGTGATTATAAAGCGCATTGAGATTACGACAATAATACTACTTGAGTGTCTGCTAACATTATATAAGTGAAATTATCGGATATACGGGGGTTGATAATTATGGGTGGCGAGGAGAGGTAGACAAGAGTAGTAGAGTGTATGCTTTATTAAATGGAGCCTCCCTTTTACATTTCTAAGGAGTCCACCTTTGGGCGGTATAATGCTCAGCCTCAAAAAAAAAAAACTGCAAATACGCTTGTCATGGGCAGAATTGGTCTTCTTAAATGTTTTTCTAACTTTAATTATGCAGAGCATCAAATTGCGACGAATAATGGTCATAGAGAAAACAAATCAGTGACAAAACGCTAGAGAATGCCACTCGAACACAAGACACCCAAACACCTATCATAGCGTATCTTGCACAGCAGCACAGTTGCGGTGACACGGTGCATATACCTGCATGAAGCATAAATAGAAGGACTAAATACTACAGTAGGTTAACTTTGATTATGAAAAGAGAAAATTACTATAATGTATTATCGTCCTGCGGTATAAATGTTCTCTGGGTCAAGATATGTAAATCAAAAACCGCGGCTCTCAGCCAACATAAATATGAAAAAAAAACACATTTGCGAATTCGTGATTCAGTTTTACTCCCATTACAATCTGATTGTTGCTCACAGAATACGATAATATTAAAAATATTCGCTAAATAATGATAGACGTTTTTAGACAAAGACGATGCAACGGTACTAGTGCCTCTCAGTGCATTGAACGGTGTCGGAAAACGTAATTTTGTTAGAAAAGCTAATCAATAACTCTGTTTTCACAGGTTACAAGCAAGTATGTGAAGTGTGGGTGAACGATCAGTTCTTTGACAGAAACACCGACGGCCTCAAATTTTGCACAGCAAATTTCTGGAAGTACTGCAAACCCCATACCCCAAAACAATACTTTATTTCCGAGTGTGACGAAAGAATTGGCAAAGTTATTTTAGTCTAGTGAGCAAGGTCTCGAACTTATAGGAAAAATGAGCAAGTATTTTTGTGGGCAATATCTCAATAAAATAATATGAAGTGTTGATTCATGAAGTATTTACTCTTGTGTAGGGACGTGGACAAAAATTATTTCAGGGAGTTACCTCCTTGAGTTCCCGGGGCAGGGTGAAGAGATATTTTTTGCATGGTCATCATTTCTTCATTATGCCATTGCGAGAAAAAATGGGGGTCGGGCATGCAATCGACGTGCCAACCTCTGGCTACGCCACTGCTTCTGCGGAATGGCAGACGTTTTGTACCGTGAGCTACACTCGCCCAGATTGAGCAGTCTCGCGTGGCTTATGGAGAGCGACGCTGCGCATTCCCCAGGAGCAGTGACGTCACACGTCGCATATCTGGCGTGCCAGATAAGAACTGGAAGCTCCCTTATTGACGCACTCCTAGTGAACCACAGTTTTATTCGCGTGAACTCGATCACTAGTGCGTCTGTCCGAAGCTGACGTTACTTATACCCTGAGGTAGTCGAGTTAAGTCAATTCTAAGTTTTCTATTTAGGCAATTGGGCATAATGCTTGCAGCAAAGTTTCAAATAAGCCCCCATACTTACTGCCCTTTTGAAAGTAATACAGCTGATTCAATTTGAAAAGCTTTAGGACATGCCATGGTTATTGTCGTATTAACATCAATGCCAGAATTTTTTCGAACATTCGTGCCTAATTGAGTATTTTTTATAGTTGCGCAGATAATCGCTCGTCGTTGTCTTCATAACAGAATAATATTCTGTGCGTCTTGCTGATTACTAGTAAAAAAAACCTACCAGAGAACTGACTGATAGCCTAGAGATTCCTCTATACGATCTCTATCAGGTCATTTGTTACTAGTCCAGTGACCATTCCACTTTTACATTGCAGCACAGTGGCAACACAGTAGTTATATACAGCATCTTTCAGTAGGTGGTAACCATAATGGAACAGCGTGGCCAACAGGAGCACAATAATTGCCACGGTGGTCTATTCGCTTCTGGATTTTGGTCTCGCGGGAGACGTAAGCTCGGGGACTGCACTCTCAACTGCACTGCCGTACCCGCTGTTTCTTTGAGTAGATCGTTTTCTTCTGATTGGAACTTTTTCGAACAAACAGCCTGGCGATGGTCAACTGACACCTGCAACTAATGTTTTTGAGTGCAATGATGAAGTTGTAGTAGTACCGACCTAATCGACACGGCCAGGAAGGCCAACGAGCATGCCCATGCCGCTGACTGCATTGCTGGTACGAAAGTGAAACTTGTGTGAGTGTTTCCGCTCGTAATCTGCAGTGTCCTCCGTGCGATATTAATTAGTTCGGGTGCGTCTTTCGATACCTCGATAAACGCGTCTCTATCCAGCATTTAGAAGTATGCAGCAACAGCTTGCAGAATATCGCGGTGTCTCATCGATGGCCCGGGGGTGTACGACGGAGGCTATGTTGTTAAAATCGCAGTCCAGGTCATCGGTGAAGATTGCATCAACTTTGCGGGTTTGGTCTTGCAAACAAGTAGACTTGCGAACCCGCCAGGACAACCTCTCCATAGCAATCGAGTTCTAAACGAATAATCATCATTCAGCTTCGCTCGGTAAAGAGTGTTACATACAATTACATTTTTTCTCTGCGGCGCTAGAGCGCTGCATGAAGTGCTGCTTTGTGTCTGAGCGTGCTTCGGCCACCCGTGAAAAAGACGTTACATTTTAAAACAATCTTAAAGAGAAGGGCACGCCTGCTCTTGTCCTTGTTAAAATTGCTGATTTCTGCCACGCTCGCATCGCCAACAACACATGATATAATTACTGCAGAACAGCTCCTGAAATTTCTACTTAGGCAGACATGGTACATGGTATGTACATGGTATGTAATAAAAATGAAAAGTAGCATAAATTACCAAACTTCAGATAATAGTGCTCAGACAGCTGATAAGGGTATATGCTGGGCACCAGCATATCCTGTATCGCAGTAAGGGGGTCTTGACGGGCAGGCGCTGGTGTGGTTGGGAGAGAGGGCACGTTCCACCTTATTGCGTGCCCTGGCTAATGCAAATGACTGCAGTTGGTGCAGTTAGTGTCGGTTCAGTGAGAGCGGCATCAAGAAGTAGTTCATATTATTACTGCGCAAGGCTGTCGCTTGATTATCAGAATATAGCGAATATTTATTCGCTGAATATATGTAGCATTCACAGGGCCACAAAGATTAACGTAACAAATGCAAGCTGGATGAGTTTAAGTTCCCGCGCGTGATAAAACGAAAACTTTAAGGAGCTCCGTGTACAGTGTCTGCACTACCTTAGGTGACAGCATTTAGTGAACCTGCACTAAACAGTGACAGCAGGTTTCAGTTATAAATTTGTGATAAGCAGTGAGCTACGTGCGCGTTTGTCTTGATCAGCAAACTGCGTATGTATGCACGTACAAATAAAGCCTTAGACTCATATATCTTGCACAACTAAGCTGTGTTCACGAGATGCGCTTACTCAGGGCGATACGGAGGCTGTGTCATCGGAGGTCTTCGCAGAAGGTTTTGGGAACCTTCGTGGTATGGGGGCCTTCGCGGTTGTCTTTGAAACGTCGCCACTCCTGGTGTAAGTCTTCCACGCTTGTAGCCTCCACTCATTGAATGACTGAAGTATTGGCAAAGCGCTGAAACAGAGTTGCATGCTTATAGAAGAGTGGCCCATAGGGAAGGCATAGCAGAAATAACTGCCAGAAAAGTGTTTGCAGCACATGCACGATGTACGAAGGCGTGAGGCGCCTTTCCATTCTGAGTTTGACTATCCCCTTCTTATTTTCACTTCGAGCACTTAAGATAGTAAGGAAAGCTAGCACTTTTGTTTATGGGTCGGTGATTTCATAAAGGCACTAGCAGTACATCACCAGTACCCAGCACTGACGGCAGAGACAAGCGGCCGCAGTCTCTGCCGCTCAAAAGTGAAAACTAGTTTTGCTTTGCAATAAGAAATTCCCGACGTTTCATGTGCAGCTTGGACCATTTATCAGATGTCACTGTGAGGTGGCACAGAAAAACAGAGTTATAATGCCTTCTCTGCGAGACAAAGAAACAGGTGATTAAGCTTGTTTTGGTCGACGTGCCATTGCCCATCGTATTACAGACTCGATAGCGCACCTGTATTCAGGTTGATGCTTTCGCGTGTTGCCTAAGTATACCAGGACAGCGAAAAAAAAAAGATTTCCCATGTCGATTCCCACTTTTGCTGGGAATTCACGTTCTGTAAAGCGTCTGAAGGGAAGGTGACCATGTTTTAAATTTTTCGTTGAGCGATACGTAATGTATTGACGCTAAATGCGTACATATGTCTGTTCAGCAGCCGCAATGTTGGCACATGACAAGTCTTCGGCACTTGCGCATTGGCATCAACAGGAAAATGAGTATAAAAACACCAAAACTGATAACCTGATATGAACCTCTAGTGTAGCCTTAGACACTGCTACATAACTCAACTTCATCGGAGTATACCTAACTATACCATGGATGTTAACTCGACGTCGCGGCTGTATCGTAGGAGACATATATAATGTTCAAAATATTGGAAAGCTAGTACTGCCACCACTATTGATGGTCATGAAGTTTATAGGATCTAATTGAAAAGTAGTTGCGAGACCTTGCGTGACAATGTGGTAGAATATGTGATCGCCACGCAGAATGACGTGGTTCCATTCATGCTGGTACCTTGACACTCATTCTTCGCATTAGTCGGCTTGACCCCACTAATGTCAGTTTTTTCTTAACTCTCGTGCGTTAAAATTACCCGCGTGTGTTCTCTCCGATCCTGCGTAGATACTAAGTGTTAAACACCTGTGGCACATACCCCTCGTGTGTATGCGCCACTGTTTGGCGGAAAGTGTTTGGCGACGTATGCGACGGGATTGTGACATTATTCATGCCTTGATCAGCGCATCATATCTTTCCAACCATCTTGACCTCCCATAATAATTTTCGTTCAAGACAATTGAGGTAAGAGGTTCATCACGAGAGCACCCAGACGTAGCCCCACCGTGGTGGTCTAGTGGCTAGGGTACTCGGCTGCTGACCCGCATGTTGAGAGATTGAATCAGAGCGGCGACGATAGCATTATTGATGGAGATGCAAATGCTTTAGGCCCGTTTGCTGAGAGTTGGGTGCACTTTAAAGAACCTCAGTTTGTCGAAATTTCATGAGTTACGGTGTCTCTCACAATCAAATGGCGGTTTTGGGATGTTAAACACCACATATCTATCAACCAGCACCCAAACTTAGGTGGTTAGACACGTAGATGATAGATAGATAGATAGATAGATAGATAAATAGATAGATAGATAGATAGATAGATAGATAGATAGATAGATAGATAGATAGATAGATAGATAGATAGATAGATAGATAGATAGATAGACAGACAGATAGATAGATAGATACCCAAAGTGCTTGCAGTACACAAAAAATGCTTCGCATTTAAAACCTGCTTGTGGAAACTTGGAAAGCTTCGAAAGCTCTCGAAGTTGATTAATAGGCGTAAGGTATCCGAAGTAAGAAGGTATAACATGAAGAAAATTGAACACGCTCTGAAAAGTGAAGGAATTCACGTCAAAGCAGAGAATAGGAAACTTCGGATAGGCGAAAATTTGATGTATGCGCTAAGGGACAAAGAAGGCAAAATAACTACCTAGATGGATAGGATAGATAAAATAGCGGAGGAGTTTTACAGAGATCTGTACAGTAGCCGGGACAACCACGACGTTAGTACTATAAGAACTAGCAGTAACCCAGATGACACCCCACCAGTAATGATAGAAGAAGTCAGAAAATCTTTGGAGAGCATGCAAAGAGGCAAATCTGCTGGTGAGATTCAGGTAACATCAGATCTGCTGAAATATGGAGGACAGATTGTGCTAGAAAAACTAGCCACACTGTTCACGAGGTTTCTCCTGACGGGAAGAATACCAGAGTCTTGGAAAAATGGTAACACCAACCTAAAACATAAGAAAGGAGGTGACAAGGACTTGAGAAATTACAGGCCGATCATCTTGCTCTCTGTAGTAGACAAGCTGTTTACAAAGGTAA